AGAAGCCTTTGTCAGAGTTCCGGCCTCTAATGATTGGATCACATCCGAACGCGTCCGAAAAAGTTATGTGGGTTGTTCCGTTATCGTTCGTGTCAACTTATTCATGATTTTTGACAATTTTACTTCTGAAAACAAAGTTACTGGTAGTTGAAAGCGACTTGCGTTGCGTTCCTTCAAATGTGTTTCTTCATATCCAAAAATCGGTCAATGAAGTATGTTCTGCTTCATGCTCCCATTAAGCACAAACTTGAATCACTTTCGTGACATCGAAAACAATTCCTCAAATTTTCATCGCATCTNGGTAGTTGAAAGCGACTTGCGTTGCGTTCCTTCAAATGTGTTTCTTCATATTCAAAAATCGGTCAATGAAGTATGTTCTGCTTCACGCTCCCATTAAGCACAAACTTGATTCACTTTCGTGACCTCGAAAAGAATTCCTCAAATTTTCATCGCATCTTCCATGAAGAAATGAAATTGTTGATTGATTTCATTTTTTTCACTGCTTTTCATTGTTAATTGTTGAGATTCATATTGTTCCTATAGTTGATAAATAAAGTTCTGAAAGTACTTGTCTCCTTCCAGAAAATTGAGTTCTTTTACGCCTCTGGGGAACAGTTTTCCATTTGCTCCTGACGTTATGCGTGGAATTAGTAAGTTCTTGTAGCGGGAGGGGGAGGGGGTAATGACGGTCTGCGAAGGAAAATGGAGCACCCGAGCGTGAGAACCGCTACGCTAGAACGATTATGATGTGATAGCGCAGCGAGTAAACACTATTCTTTTATCAGCCTAAACAATGATAGATCAAGGTTTTCATGTACCCTAGAGCTCATCGTACTGTTCATGCACCATCGAACACATGTGCTTACATTACGCACCATGCGTTCCCTGTGTCTGTCAGTTCCCGCTTTAATCTTAATCGTTTCTATGGAATTCAGTAAATTTCAGTTCAGGAGCAGATAGCCTTTTCGTGCATGAAGTGCTCATTTTCATGTGAAATTGAGAATGATATATGACGGATTTTCAGCAAAAAATGTTGACAGAGAAATATTCACTTGATTTACTTCAGACTTAG